CACTAATTTTTATCTGTGCTAAGAGGAAGGGGATTAAAACCATATTCAGCCTCAGGAATACTCTCCCAACCATCTACTGTTTCAATGAGTTGAAAAATGAAGGATGGGACAGAATGCAAGAGCTTCAGGGAGTTTTTACCAAGATACACACAAAACTGTACAGGGTGAGAGTTTACTACAACAAGCTGTTTTCTTTACCTCATGGTATAGAAATACTCTTGAGTTTATCATGGAAGATCCTTATATTCACTCACATCGCATAACACTCTTTTGCAGACAGGTTTGCAGTCATTCAAGATAACTGGTTGTACAAGTCTGAATGGGAATATTATAAGTAATCTGAGGAATCAGGAAAGGTGGGAAAAGAAAGAGGCCAGAGGCCTGACAACACCACATGAATGCAAAACATCAGCTGCACCAAAGCCTTTTCATTCCTGGAGTCAAAAACAATGCCCCAGTCTCTTACCTTCTTTTGGTCACAAAATGGGACAAAGTGCCTGCATTTCTCTTGCTGGGGTTGGACCAGCAAAGACAGCCTCTTCAGAAGACCATCAATCAGCTGCCTTCAGTTAGAAAAGTAGCCTGAAGCTGAGAAACATTCCTTCTAACCCTTCTTTCATATAGCAAAACTGGTAATTAAAACCACTATAAGGAAGACTGTTCAGTTTCTCTTTGTTGTCCCAGGGGAACAAGAGGACAGGGAAATGGAGAAGATGACAATTTATCTGAATGAGAGTGGAGTGGGGAGGGACCAATAACCCCCAGAAGCTCACAAATGAAACGCTCACTCCCATGTTGGCTGATTTAAGAGTTACTTATGCCAAACTGCTTTCCCCTCACTTTGCCTTGCTATTTCTTTCCGTTCTCCCCCTTGCTGTCTCTTCATTGTATGTTTGTATTTTACTGTATTTTTAAATGTTATAATTGAAACCCAGGTTGCACATTTGTTGATATACAGAAGTTATCAGGTAATCTGTCCCTTCTACAAACACATTTCACGCCATCTTGTGTGCATTAAGAATCAAATGGAGTGTGGTTCATTTTGAAATCTCCCCTTCCTTTGCTTCAAGACCAAAATGTATGAAATTGCCCTGCTGACTTAAGGGTCATCAAAAGGCTTCTCTGCAGTCCTGCAAAGGTCTGCAGCGTTGTTTTAGAAGGGAGGAACAATGTACTCTGCAAACACCAGGGCCGCTGTGATGGCAAGCTAAAGGCTGGATATCCTGGTGTCCCAGTTCCCAGAAGGCGCGAGGTGGTTGTGCTGCTAGAGGATTTCCCTTCAACACACTTCAATTCTCTTTAGGCTAGGGATGCGGAGGCAACCTCCTCCTGCTGGAATCTGGGCAGTGGTGGTGTCTGTGATCCACCAGTCTTGTTCACTGCCATTAGAACTGCCAAAAAGTGGGGAAAAAACAACAGGAGGTCATTGGACAATAAAGACAAGGTTGGCATGCGGCCTCACTGAGGCCTTCCTGTGCCTAAAAGGAGCTTGTAATCAGGAAGGAGAGCAACTTTTTACATGGGGAGATAGTGATAGGACAAGGCGGAACAGTTTTAGACTAAAAGAGTTGATATTTAGATTATATATCAAGGGAAATTTCTCACTGAGAGGGTGGTGAGGCACTGGCACAGGCTGCCCAGAGAAGCTGTGGTGCCCCATCCCTGGAGCTTCAGGGCCAGGTTGGATGGGGCCCTGAGCTGCTGGATGGCAGCCCTGCTCACGGCATGGGGTTGGGGCAGGGTGGGCTTTGAGGTCCTTCCAACCCAGCCATCCTGTGATTCTATGACTCTGTGGTATGCAACTCTTCTCTGAACACTGGGTGTTTGCTGGGAAGCTTTTTCCAGCCGTGTTTTGTCACCCCTCCCTTCCTGACTGGGATGAATGGATTTCACTCAGTTAACCACATCTCCCTCAGGTACACTTTCAAGTGAAAGAGAAACTTCTCAAAGAACTTTGAGGGCACATTTGGGACTTGCACACAACACAACAGTAGTTTGTTTGCAGCAGCTTAATTTAAATTGGATTTCACTTCAATTCGTTGAACAGCTGAGGAACCCTGTGTGGACAACACTTATTTGCCTTAAGTGTTGGCTTAAAATCAGTTCCTAATCGATTTAAGCTCCACTGATCAGATTTAAATATATATGTAAAAGGTCAACACAACCTTTTACATTGATTTAATGAAACGATATTGAAAGCAATGTTTGAGTAAACCGGTGCAGCCCTGTGTAAATGCTGTTTGAATTAGTATAATATGGATTGTCAAAAGATGGAAAAACATCTCTCCCCTTCAAAGTCTGCAAATTCAATCTCTTGATTGAATGCTAGAAAGACAGAGTTTGGTGGACCTGTGTATTGATTTTATCATTAGCTATACAAAACAAATGGCTAATTCTGTAATTGCTGTAATAGGCACATTTTATGGCTTCCCTTGATGGCGTTGATCCACATACATGTATGTATCTATATGTATCTGTGTATGTTTATGTTCAAAAATCACAAGCATTCCATTCTCAGTGTGAAAGTTCAAAATTCAAGCCTAGGAATGCTTTTGAAATTATCATCTTTAAAAGATTACTATCTGGAAGAAGAGGACTTTCTTTAAAATTTAGATATATTACAGTACAAAAGTATCACTTATGTCAGAAGCCTATTTCACTGTTTAGCAGGTGCAGATATTCATCATAAATTAAATTTCATTTGTGCTGAGAGGTTGAATTGGCGAGGAATCACTTTATTGGTATGTGAAATATTTACTACGTATAGCTGGATGGCTTCCCAGGAATTCTGATGAAATACATGAATGCACAAGAAAGCACATCCTTTCTTCACAAGTCTTGTGAGGAAAGATGTAAGCCTGCTCTTCTCAGTATTTGTGCAGTTTTTATTAACTGTCTGAATTGTCCTTAGCAATTTATCTAGAATAACTGGTAAGAAAGAGCTTTTCATTTCGAAAGTTCTTTCTGTTGAATAAAGCTGCTGTTAAAGACTTGAATATACTATTTAAAATAAAACACACTTTTATTTAAAATATATTTTTCTGCACCCTTTTTAGAAATTGCCTTTTTCTTATAGAAGGGTGAAAAACCACATGTTGCTTTAAGCAAGTTCAGATGCTTGGAAGAGATGAGTGATATTGGGATCACTTCAAAAAGCACACGAACTTAGAAGCCAATAAGTTCCATTTGGCTGGGAATTGTTTGCACGTGTCCTTTGTATAAGAGGCATTATTTGCTAAAAATGATTTATTTATAAACGTCATCTATCAATTTCTGCATCTGAGATACAAACAGTGTGGGGTACAAAGGTAGGAGAGACTTCCAGTTCTATCTAAAAACAGCCCTTAGGTACCTTCCATAATAGGTGATCTGATTTGCTGCGTAGAATAATCGATCTGCATGACAAATACGGGCCAGCTCAGCTCTCCCTCAGGAGTGTTAAAACATGTAAGAAAAAAGGATGACAGTAGTGGGTTTCGTGTATCTGGAGAAGTCTTGGGGAAGTCTTAAATGAGCGCAGGCCACTTTCCTTCCAGCTGAGAAGCCACGTTAAAAAAACAAACAAACAAAAACTAAATTAAACAGCAATAAAAATCAATATCAACTGTTTCATATTTAAAAGTTAATACTGAGAGCTATGAAAGCTCTAGAGTTTACATGAGCAGCCTATAAAATATTAATATAAGTAACAGCAGGGAACCTTGTAGAAACCACCCCTCTACAAATCCAAAGTGATATTAAAAAACAAAAACAAAACAAAACAACAACAAAAAACTGATTTTTTTTTTTTTAATTTTGAAATTTATTCTGTGTTCTTGGCTCTAAACTACACACATGCAGGTTTGAGGATGGGGATCTCTGAGATGAAGGCAAGTCCTCCATCCCCCGTGTTACAAACTGCCTTGTAGCTTAAGCCACGTAACCAGAAGGTGAGCAGTACAGTTGCATTTCCATTCTCCTAACGCTGCGGCCGTGCACTGATCTGCACATGATAGGCTCCCATCTTGCCCTTGACCAACTCTTTTGGATTGGATAAGAACAACAGTATTTACATTATTTTTGCACAGATGCTCTGAATACTACTTTAAAATTTCATGCTTTGTTTGAATTATAGAAAAGACAAGGTGCTCGCAGGCAGCACATCACATTTGACTCTAGCACAGGGACATTTCATGTTCTGAATGGTCAAGGGAAAGCATGAAGAAGAACTAACAGTTTTTGATTTAGCTGCTGAAAGCAGTCAGGTTCACATCTTTCAAGTCTTTTTTCTTTTTCCAATAAGATATTGCCTCTAACTCCCAAAGCTGTGAGTAGATGGAGCATTTCTCCATGAGCAATGCATGCATCACCATAAAAGCATTGTGCTACTTTATTTGGACTCTAAAACTGCAGAGTAAGTGAGGAAATAATCTTTTTATTATAATGTTGAGTATTTTAATTAAAAGGGGAATTAATTGTGGCTTCTGCCGTTAGTGCTTGCACATCCATAGAGATTTCCATAGCAGATCCTACTTTCATTCTACAGACGTGAGTTTCTTTTTGGCCCCGTACGCAAACTCATGTAGCTGGTAGCCTTGCTGTATGCAATTAACAGAGAAGCAACCACATGGAGAAGCGACCTTTGAGTAAAGGAGTGGCCAGATCACTTGGGAGGGATTTTTTCCATAATCCGAACGCATCATTAATATTTTAAACGCTCACTGGAGTATGATAGAAAACATCAGTCACTTCCATGTCGACTGCAATTCGCAGATACAAAAGCCCTATCCTAACAGCTAAAACATTGATGGAATGGCACTGGAAACTCTTGTTCCTATTTCCATAGGCTCAGCAATACTTCAGTTGGCATTTCTATGAAGATCAACCGAGGGCACGACATGCAGTAGGAGTCGTACTTCAAGACAGAGACTGGAGCATGCCAGTTTATTTCAAGAGCAGTCTAATCTCATATATTTACTTAGGAGTGAACACACTTGTGAGCACTGAAAAGGGTACTTCAAAACTTTTAATGTCTTAAACAGTAACAAAACAATGCAATTCATATGCATAACATTTCTAAATCTGTTCATTTCCTACTTAAAAATTGACTCTTTTTCTGTAATAAATACATTCCTCGAGGAAAAAAGCCAGAAGTAGGAATTATCTTCAGTCTCAGCCAGGTCTTCATCCTCCATAAAGGTTTTTAATCTTCTAATTTTAGTAATGATTGAAGGAAGAGGACATGAAAATCTGCACCAAGTATAAATTTCAAGAATGCTTCTATTTGCCATTTGCATGTTAGATAATATTACTTCTTCTTTTGAAGAAGTAATAGACGTAATAAAAAAAATAACACAAATTGTTCTGACACTGCAGATCTCTGAAAACTGCCCGAAATGGCGAAACAGTATTGTCAGTCCAGCTGCCTCCAGACAAAATGAAATCATGTGTTGTGGCACAAGCAGGTTATGACAGTCTGAATGGAAAAGCCTGAGCAGAACAAAACTCAAAATGGAGCGAGGCTCCCCGAGAGCAAAATAACAATGCGACCGACTTGAAAAGACAGAGGGAATAATGAAATCAAAACAAGTAGTAGGGACTTGTAGTAGTGCTCAGTTCGCTGCTCAGTTTGAGGGTTACTTCTCTTGAATTAATTACTGAAAAGAGGAAGATAGGTGTGTTTGTAGGTCACCCTATGTGAGCTGGAAGGGTGGAAGAGCGCATGGTGCTGTGCAGGGCTGGTATACAGGATTTCTCACCCTTCTCCTTTAGGTGAGGAATTAAGATTCATGGAGGCATCTTTTGGTCAGTGCTTGGTGCTGGGAGTGGCTGCTGGGTCAGCCTCCTTTATGCCCTCTCAAAACTTTTTCCAGAGCAAATCCCAGTAACGAGCTCTATAAGAGGGCGTCCCTCCTTTCATTATGTTGAGTGGTATTCATACCTGCCAGTATTCAGCCTGGAGCAAGATTTCTAAAGGAAACCAATCCATTGTGCTGAAAAAAAATCACGTAACGGAATGAAAATATTTCCTTGCACAGCCTGTTTGGTCTCTGTTAGACGTATTAGCCAGATCAATACTAGTTTACCAAGCTGGCTGGAAAAAAGTTGGAGGTACGTGAAATTTGTTTAATGCCTGCTTGATATCAAATAGGAAACAAGAACAATACATGGATATCGAGGATTTCAAGGAGAACTTTTGCTCTTGGGGAAGTTAAAGTGATCAAATGTGAAAGAACACAGACAACGACAAGAAATCTTTTCTGGGACACTAAACCCTGAGCTTGGGATGATGCAATGACAGCATCAGCACATGGGAAAACTCAGTTCTTTCCCTTGTGCTTACACTTCAAGACTGGGGCTTTTCCCTCTGCACTGACGTGAGCAATGTGAGATCTGCACCGCCAGGTCATTCAGGGAGACTTGCATGAGGTCTGGACTGTGCTCATGTCCCACAAAATTGCTCGTTTTACCAGAGCAAACAAAGGACAGCCAAAAGAAGGAAAGGCCCCAATAAAGAATGGGTTCAGGTCCAGAGGAGCCACTGTGCAGTGCTTCCTGTAACTTTGCATTTAATTTTTAAACATATAAAGATTACATCAAGTACTAGGAAAAAGAATTAGAGAGATTGTGATACTTACTGGAAGACTTAATTTTCTTTTCTGTGTGTGTGCAAGATCTTTCCTACCAGGGAAGAATCATGCAACATGTACGTCTCTCCATTGCTTGTTTTCTGCCTTTCCTCTCTGGTACTTCATCGTTCTAGATTTGCTTTTGCTAATTCTCATCAGATAAATATAACTGACAGAGGAGACAAAGTTCACACATTTTCATAGAATCACAGTCAGAGTTCCCCTGTCAAGGCAACAGTGAACTAAGAGCAGAGCAGAGCTCTTCATGAAACAGACTAAACTGCTCCTTGTCCTCTCTGTAATACCTGCAGTGAAAGTGAAAATAAGTTGTATGGGTTTGTAATGAAAAGGAGTCTTTACAGCTGAGCAAAGGGCTGAATGAAGCAACTCCCCACCTCAGCATTCTCCTCCCCAGCATCCCCCTGAAGGCCCAATGCCTTACCAGGAATCCACTGCTGTCACACATGAGCTACCAGGCTTGGCAATAAATAAAGCAGGTAAAGAGCAATGGTTTTAATAGGAAAGCATTCAAACTATCTGATCAAAGGGTGCCTCCTACTCTTCAGTTCTGTGTCACTGTTGGCTGAACGCAGGCTGTATTATAAAAGACGTTCATGTCAGTTCTGTTAGCTTGTAAGTCAACAGAAATGGGTACTCTGAGAGATGTGGTGTTTGGTGATTATGTCTTTTTGTCTTAAACAAGCCTAGAGAAGCAGATTATCAGTTTTGAGTTATATCAGTTTTGTACATTACTAACATCACTACGATTTCAGAGAGAGCTGCACACTGAAGGAAAATAGCAGCTCGTGGTTAATGGCTAGGATTAATATGCAATTATCATTATATTAAGATTTTGGGTTTGCACTACAATCCTATTTTTCATTAATTGCTGCCCTTGTCCTATTTTGTTTCTCTGGGAAAATAAGACAAAATGATACATTTTTGTTCTGTTTTTTGAGAGTAATAATGACATCTTTCAGACAGCACATCCTTACCTTCCTTTGGAAAGGCACTCACCAGGTGAGAGTCACAGAATGGAATGCTGTCTCCTCAAAAACCTCACAGAGCGGGGAAACGACGTTAAACAACAGGAGGAAAAATGAAGATGGAGGCAATGTTAAGGCTACACAGCAGTGATTTACAGTAAAATATACTGCAGAGATAATGTAATTGTTCGAGGCCCAGAAACTATAACCCTTGGACGTTTTAAGTTAAAATCAAATTTAACAAGAAAACCAAATGAAGCATAAAGAAATGCAAAGCCCAAACATCCAAAAAATCTCAGTTATGCTTGGTTAAAAGCTCTTTAAAATCTCTAGCTAGCTAAAAGGCACGGCATTTGTGTGCATAATATGTGTGTGTTTATATATAAACTAATACACGCATGCTTTTGAAGATGAATCATGCATTTCCACTTCATACTTTGTAACTAGAAATTTGTTAGAAATCTCTTTCTGTTTTGCAGGGAAGGGAAAAGAAAAAAAAAAGAACTGCACGCCTTTAGAAATCTCTTAATCGTATCCAAGTCCACAACTGTAGAACCATCTCAATACGAATGGTACGTTTTTGCCTGGTTACAGTCACCACAGTAACACCCGTGTAGCTGCTAAAAAGCTCATTTCCTGGGGAAAAAAAAAAAAAAAGAGCAGGGGAAAGCATACATTGGAGAGCAATATATGAACCAGATATCTGCAGTGCATCAGAGGGACCTCAGCAAGGCCTTACAGAATCTGACAACAGTGCAAGGCGTGCACTGGAGGCTACATGCATCTCTTTGAGTTGCAGGAGGGTATCTCTATGAGCCCAAAGGGAACAGCTACAGATGCAAAGCCTCTGTGATAGAGGCAGCTACTGTATGAGGACTGGAGATTCCTGAGCCATCCATAGGCACTCTGCTCCTCTGGGAAGGAGAAGGCTTGAGAGCTGGGCCGAGGGAACGTGTGTGGTGTGTGAGGAGTCAGCCAGACCCAGCTCCACAGTTCGGCCCTGTGATGGGGACTGTCCTAGTCCCAGGTGCCACACCAACCTTGTCTATCCAAGAGGCAGCCCTGAAAACGTTAAGCAGTTGTTAGATCAAAATTGGATCTTGATGACATGGTAGAACAACAGCACAGGCATATTGAGGTGAATGATGAACCTCCCCTGGGCTGCTGTATAGAAATGATCAGGCTGTCATGAGGAGCTAAGGAGGGGTGTTCAAAGGCAGCATCAGAAGCACCAGTTTTTATCGTGGAATGAGAGCTGTACTGACAAAGCTTAAAAGCCCGCCTACTAGCAGCTCCTCTACTAGCAATGGCTGGACTTTCCCTGACTGACTACATTGTCTGCTCCATGTCCACAACTCAGATGCAACATTGTTAATTACAGAGGTATTGGTTGCAGCCTTGCATAGCTTTGCACTATTATGTGCATATTAAACTGGAAAAACACAGTTTACTTTCCCCAAACTAAGAGCAATACCTCTATCATGTAAAGGATTAACATAAGAAGCTACCTGACATCTGCTAATATTTCCCCGTAGGAGAGTCAGGCTGCTTAACTTGGATCAGTGGCCAATGCCATCATGCATTCAGAAGCTTTGCTCTGCCTCAGAATAGAAAGTCTCACACTCTTGCACACATCATTGCTTAAATTCATCAAATGTACTGATTAAAAAAAAAAAAAAAAAAAAAAAAAACAAGCAACAAAAACCAAAAGTACTTCAGTGAGCCTATTTTTTTTCTGAAAAGAACTGCACGTTAGCCAGTTTGCTGTATTCCCATCTTCTAGTACCTGCTCAATGAGTTACAGGCTGAGCAGTTCAGTTCTCTGCTGCCACGACACTCCTGCTTGGATCATGACAAGAAAAAGCTCCTTAAAGAAAACCAACTTGGGTTCTTTGTGGTCCCTAGAGGAGAAAACCAACACAGAGCTTCAGACACAGTCTGTTCTGGCCTATAACAGCACACTGGAGACCTGCACTCCCAAGAAGCTCCCAAACCAAGACCACACATCAACCACACAGCACTGCTTGGTTCCCCAGCATCCAAGGAACGGCACATTTTAAACCCTACAGAAACCATTCTTCCTTGTTTACAACCAACTTTTGTTTCACTTTTTCTTTGCTCAGAGCTCTGGTCATCAGACTTACCCAGGCAGGAATTAATTTTCCTTTGTGATTGTTAATGGATAATTCAATCATGGTCATTAAAAAAGCATAATGTGGTATGAATCAGCAAGGGATGGTGACACATGGAGGACCTTGGAAATTTTTCCTTGTTCCTTTCTGCCCATCTTCAGTAGAGCCTGGCTGTGGTCAGCCAGATAGTGGGTGGTGCTTTGGAAGAAGCAAGCAGGTGGGCTGAGGCATAGCTTGTCCCAGGAACACAGGGCTTCTTGGCTCTGTTTCCTGCTCAAGGGAAAGCTCAGAGCTGGCGGCCAGGTAAGATAGACAGCAAGACAAACTGAGAAGGCAAAAGGAGCTGAAGGGAGAGCACTGTTGAACTTACCCTGCTTCACTATCCATTTGTTATAAGCTCCGATTTAAAATGCAACTTATTGTTTTTATCTCTGAAATACAATCAATTTTATAAGTCAGATGCGATCCCAGAGCCAGTGCTGTGCAAACAGCAATTTTTAACAAAGCAGAGGCTAAGCACGTGTGAAAGGAGCCCACACAGCAGAGATGCCACAATGATCTCAGAAACAGTAGAAACTGAAACGAAGTTTAGCTCTGCACGCTAATGAAAAATGCCTATGCAGGTTCCTAGACAAACCAGTTGAGAAGAAATCAAAGAAGGTCAATTTATTGCAGTGCAGACTTCTGTTATCCAGTTACATGAAGAACTCATCATAATTAAAACATTTTGGTCATTTATCTCATATGGATTTTTTCTAAGTTTAACCCTAACACTTTTTAGCTTTACAGTAATTTTCCTAAGAGTAATTACTAAATTTCAATAGCAGCAATTTGGAAGCTCAGAAGTATATAACCTCAGTCTCACTCCCTCATCAGTGATGATTTTTGCCTTAAAACCTGCTTTCCCCAATTCACATTTTTAAAGCGTGACACATGATCAATAACCTGAAAGTGCAAAAAACTTTCTCATCTGATAATTCTATTGATTTTTAGACCAAATAATTAAACTAACTGTTAAGACCACGTTCATCAATACGATCTGACTGCTTTGTTCCCCCCCCCCTCTTGAGCAAGAGGAATCAATCAGGGTCTCCTGACTTGTGTAACCAGTCACAGCTACCGTGCTGCTCTGACATGATACCCAATAGCCATTTGACACCTGACTGTCCTCACCTTGCTCTTATAACCACTTACCTGCACACCCCAGGTTCCAAACTCTGCCCTCCTCCTGAATCCTCTACGTTGCACTGTACATTCCCAGAAGCCTCCATCTCCATCCTGTCCTGGGTGCTGCTTTCTACGCTATCAGGTTGCTTTGTGAAACGTCAGTTTTAGAAGACATATTGTATTTTTCCACAGGTAACAGAGATTGAGTGGCAAATCATGCTAAATGCCAACTTTATTTCCATTTTGGCGACGGAAGCATATCTACAAATTAACACCCTCTGCTCAGACTGTACTTTAACAGTTGGACTTTACTACCAACCAGTTTCCGCAAAGCAGAGCAGGTTGCTGGTAGGGTATGAAATGGGAAAGTCAAGAAGAGTCTCTGAGGCTTTCTCTGAAAGCCAAGCAGCTTCTTCTTAGGGATGGCTCACTGAACTGAAAATTTCATCTCATTCTCTGATTCACAGAGATTAAGACTTGTGGTTTAGTTCCAAAAATAATAATAATAATAATAATAATAATCATCCCTCCCTAACATGTCTTGCTTATTCCTGAGTTTTTGCTGAATCAAGAAGTCCAAGAAAACGTGCCTTAAGGTTATGCATATCCAAGCTCGTACGAGCCAGTGAAAGAAGTGGATCCTGCAGTGAGGATCTGGAAATGGATTCACTCTCATCCGGCAGATGACAACTTGTGCTGCCACTGGGCTGCTCCTGCACCCAAGTGGTTGGAGCGAGGAATCTCTTCAAGGCAGTAAATTGGGATACAACTGGAGTCTGGGGACGTACGTCATTGTTACGTGCAGTCAGAGAAAGGATTCTTTGTGCTGGTTTCCTGATGAGCAATGTGTAAAATGTTCACAGATTTGGTTGTATTCAAGGGGCGCAGTGGCACGTATGTACATACCAGCTGACACTGTGATTATCTACCTCTGCAACAACTGAGAGAAAGCTCTCAACAATTTCAGCTGGTAACACTCGAATTTGATACATTCTATGGAATGCATTCTCATGAAGTAACACATTCAAAATATTTGCAGCAGTTTGTGCTGGAGAAATGGTTAGAAACTCTGGAAGATTTGTAGAACATGGAGCAACTCACAGCCTGAATCAGGCACTTTGCACGGCAGAGCACAGCAGTCAGTCCTAGTAGATCCAGTACTCCCCATCCAAACACTTCTTCACTGACAAACGCTCTGCAGCATTCCTAAGATCAACTGGTGTTTGCAAGTTGCAGGAGAGATAGAAATCAGTGTTTGCCTATATTTGACAATGTTATTTGAAGTGCAAGATAGATTACAGATAATATTTAAATCTCTCTGAAAAATAATGGTTTCTGAAGTTTTTAAGTCATTTTGATAGCCATGCAACTTGATGGCTCAATAAATGACCTTCTAGAAAACATGTTTTTAAAATCACTTTTAAATGTGTATTCCAAAGGCTTATTTACAGTACATCCAACCAATAACTGCAACTAAGCACATGTACAGATGTGGTCATCAGCAGACACAGATTTTCAGCTACTTACACAGCTCCAAAATCCAAGACCTTTCCCAGTTGGTATGGCTCTAACAGGTGCAAATGGAAGAAAAATGGGTTAGATTGGAAGGACATCTAAAGTAATGATCAGTTCTTCGCATCCACACTTGACAAGCCTCCCTTCTAACAGTTCACACTGTGATGCACAAGTACCTAACAGTAACTTCCATCAGAGATTAGTAGATTTTCCCTTCTAGGTGAAGCTTGCTACATTAAACCTTGTGAAAGCATTCATTTTTGACCACATTTAAAAAGCAAAACTACAGTATGTATTGGCTGCCTTTCAAGTGCCAGATTAACACCTTGGTAGCTGCACCCTACTTCCATTAAAAACAATGGGATATGCATGACACTGCCTGGCCTTCACAAAGTCAAATGAGAGGAAGAAAAATAAAAAAAAAAGGGGGATTAAAAAGAAATTGCTGTAGGTTACACAGCAACAGAGCCAGAAGTCAAACTCAGGAACCCTGACTACCATTGCTTACATCTGCTGTGGGGAGTTAAATGGGAACAAATGGGAAGAGGCAGTGATGTACACTAAGAAGAAAAGTGGGCGCTAGGAAATTGTGATATTATGGTGCATCAAGACAAGAGAATAGAGGAAGAGAATTAAAAGAAAAAGTGGAGAGGAAAATACCTAAAGCTGCAATTAGAAAAGAAAATAAAGATGATAGTAAGGAAAAGCCAACATAAGTAACAGGAGATATATTATTAGAGACATTTTTCAGATGTTAAATAGTTGACTGTCAAAATATCTTCAGGAAATACACAGACAGCATGTTTGCCTCAAATAGGTGTATTTACTGTGGCATTACAATGCTTTGGGTGATATGCTGTTGCTGACAGGAAGTCTTCTCTTCACTCCTCAGCCATCCTAGCCACAAGTCACATTTGCAGCTGCCTCAAAAATACTATCACAAAGCATTCATTACTGATGGCATTTGGCAAAACCTAAAACCCAGAAGTGCTCATGCCCTCAGTGTTCTGAAAAGGCAAATTATTTCAAATACGTGGTATAAAACTTGCATTCTTCATGCTGCTTTCTTCATAAACGCACTGCTGAAGTGGCTGACGCAGCATAAACCAGAAGGATGCTGTGCCTGTCCCAGAACTGATCAACTCACACCCAGATGACAACCAGCATCCTGCCAGTGGAGCCCGGCACAGCCAACATGTTACTGGCTTCACAGGGCAGTGGCAGGCTCAAAACAAGAGCCTGGAATGGAGAGCAGTGATAAAAAGAATGGAATGTGGAAGACCAGAATGAACAACCTCCAGAACTCAAACATTTCAATAAGCTGAAAGACTCGATGAGGTGTTTTCCTCCGCTGTTGGCTTATTTTGCATCTGCCTGAACCAAAACCAAAGATATCCTTCTTCTTAAAATAACAAAAGCACTCTGCACAAGCTTCAGGCTACCTCCCAACCAAACTCATCTTCCCAACTACCAAAACCTCTCCGCCCAGGGTTCTAAAGTCAAAAGTGCTTGAAATGATTTTATTTTCCAAAAGCAGCATTTTTCAGAATTTCACTTTTAAATTCTGACTATTGTGTAATTACTGCAAAAAGGTAAACAACAGGACCCAGGTCTCAGCAGTTGTACTACTGCATCTGTAGAGGAACCAGGCTGAAGCTGTGCTACTGGCAGCACTCACAAAGTCCATCTACTCAAGGGCATCAGAACAGATGGACCCACACAACAAAGGGATGAATCCACCCCCACGTTCTGCAATAGCTCAACATCAGCACTAGTCAAATCAGAAGAAAAATACACACAGAAAAGGTTGCTTTGCTTTTCAGCACTCAGTGCCAGAGTTTCTTGCATTCCGCTTCCCAGCCTCAGATTTGGAAACAGCCATCAACTCTCTCTCCACCATTTGACAAGTGCAGCCAGTTACAGGGATCTGCATCCCTGGAGGCACGCATCTCCTGAGGAGGACATCATGAGCTGCGGCCACAGATCTGCTCGATATCGTAGATCTCCTTGGGACAGTCAGCAGACAAGATGAGAGGTGAATCATCTGCTATCACAACATCATCCTCAATGCGTACACCAAGGCCACGAAACCTCTCTGGGGCACTCACATCATCTTCAGGGATATAAAGTCCTGAAAGAAGGGAGGGAATTAAAACATGCCACACTCCCTAAAAACCTTTCCCTCGATGCACCCACCTTAAGAACAGGGTAAGATTTTCAGCAGTATCAGAAGAATTTGACCTTGAAGTTTAATAAGGAAAACTGCTCTCTTTCCCCTCAATCACAGCAGCTGGTAAGCAAAGAAAGGGCAGTGCCTATGGACACCAGCACATTAATAAGAACTTCCACAATTACAGCTGGTCCTTTGGCACCTTTTGCTCTCAACTCTGTGTTCACAGTGATGATTTTAACAGTGTCCCAAATAGATAGAGAGAAGAGCCAAGCATTAAATATCAGTTTTCATCTGACAGCTCCAAAATAAGTGACAAGAGGAAATAAATACTCACTGTGAAATGTCTTGTTTGCAAAAATAAGTTGTGAATGCTTCTAATTGCAGGCTGC